ACCATTTTATATTAGGAATAATATTTAAAAAAAGAAAAAATGTATCACAGCTGATGAGATATAAGAAAAAGCTACCAAAGGTTTATGAAGATTTTCATTATAGCATGTGCTATACTTTCTATTAGAGAATAATTTATTTTTAAACAAGATATACATCATTTTTCTATTACCTTTACTTGTATTTTTATTGATAGAATATACAATAGTGCAACCTAAAATTTAGTATAGTAATATAAGAATTGGAAATATTTAAATTTTACAAAATCATAACCTAAAAGTCGAAGAAAGAAATCGATCTTTAATCCTCACACAATACAAAATAAAGTTAAGAAGTAAGATCAGAAACACACAAATTAAAAAATTTTTAATTCCTATGAATTATGGAATATATTTATGATTCAACGTTAAAACGTGTAACGTAAATGATGATAAAACCGTTTGAGAATTTTACCATAACCTTATTTCAAATTACAGAAATATTCAGTAAAAATTACACTGAAATAATATTAAATAAATTTGCAGTTTACTGAGACACGAAGCGGCTTTATTGACAATTTTGAATGAAAAACATGCGAAATTACCGACTCGAATATGAACCGATGTCTAGAGCACACATTAGAAATTTTTTATTAACTGACAACCATGTTACTTACCGTCGTTTGTGCAAGACAAAGTAAATATACAGTTCCAAATTCGGTAAGAATAAATACTTCTTAGATAGTACTAAAGTTATTTCGTTATACTGCGCGCAAGTAAATAACAATTCCAATTCGCCATTTTACGTTACCGTTTACGTGAAAGAATCGCAAAGCAACCGATAGACCGCAAAAGATTACGCCACTGCGTCACTGAAGTAGTTTCCGGCTCCGGTTTTCTAAGACGTTAACGGCGCGAAATTCGGTATGTTGTCGCGTAAAATTTATGAGTCAATGTTAATACCAGGCATAATTTACATCTGTGTTATTAAATATTTTATTAATATATATACACACAAATATTGTAAACAATAAGATAGCAAACATATGGATACAAAATTTATTTAATAAATGAAAACGATGTAAATCTTGACAATAATAGTATAGTTTTATTAAAATTTACACATACCATAAATATTAACCATTTGAATTCCATGCAGTGAGATCGGTAAGATCCACTAGATTTGACCAGGTTAAATAATTAACGACGTATTTAAATTTGACCGATTTTTGTCCGTCGTATCGTTTATTTTGTTTGTATGTAAACCATATAAATAATACATTTTGTTTCTGGTTAGCATTACTTTTGATTATTTTTATTGAATAAAAAAGGCATTACTATTATGCTAAGATGATCATGCATTTTTGAATTAATTGTTATAATAAAGTACAATATTTAAAATTTTTAGAAACTTGTTAGGTACAAAAGAAGACAACACACACTTTCAGGAATATGTTATTTATTCAAAAGATGTTTACCAATAGACGGAAAATACATTAAAATATAATTTATATTGAATTTGAAAACTTAAGTAAAGTAACATTATTCAGTCATGTAATCAATGTCCTCTTTGTATTTTGTTAACATCTTATATTCGTTACTACTAGTAACATTGTCACGAAACAAAGGAACCAATTTATGACCGCTTCGCTGTAATATATAAGAATTGAATGGAAGAAAGTTTTCAATTGTAGCTATTGTTGTTTTCTGACTATTAAATATAGGAAGTTGACTTCGTGTATTATTCTCAATTATAGTATAACAATATGCCAATTGGTACATTCGTGTAACCTCTGCAAAACTGTGCACGATTTCAGGGTGACAAGCCTTCAATGGGTTCAATTTGGAAGTTATAATTTTTGCTAAATCCAATTCTTGTAGATATAACATATCTAGAAATAAGTAAAGATTATTTTAATGTACATAAAAAGTTTGAAAGATATATTTCTCGTAATGAAAATTGATTTATACATACATTTTTTTGAATCAGGATAGTCATTATGCCTTTTAGTAATTATGAGGAATAATGCTTGACAAACTGAATAAAATACTGAATGATCTTTGTTTTCGTCGTTTATATAACTTGTATGGTCTTGTATATTAATATAGTCATGTATCCATTTACATAGCCTAAGCTGCACAGCTTTCACAATCCTAATGGACAAAACACGAGTATATTATGTACACACATTCATATGTAAATTCGATACTACACATAGTCAATACTTACCCAGTTGTGATAAAATTTGCGGTAACTAGAAAGCTGGCAATGTATCCTACAGATGATTGCCGTGTAACAGAAGGTATATTAGGATCTGAGACTTTACGCCACAACCAATCTATAAAAGCCTCCGCAACAGCTGTTTTAAAACTACAAATATAGAGTATAATATACTGCACAAATTGACTTGCATGAGTAGGTAATATTACTGTTTCAAATATTTGTAATAAATCATAGTAAAGACTTTTTAAATGTTCTATTTGCAAAACTTCTTCAACAAAACAGAAGTCATGCATGTATTTCAGAATCAGTTCCATACACACATCCAATTTATGAGCTATTGGATGTAATTTATCTGTTTCTTTTATATCAGTATCTTCAACATTATTCTCATTACCGGTTAGACTGTCACATTCACTACTATCATCCATTAAGTCTTCGTCTTCATTATCTGTCTCTAATCTTGGTATATTTACATCCAATACCATCATCCTAAAATGAAAAACATGTTTTCTCAAATTGAAATTCTAACGTTCCTCTTTATATAAATATGTTACCTATTGATAATTAGAGACAAAATATCAGATCTTAATTGAGGTGCATATTCCAATATCTGAAGTAATGCATAAACATAAACTTCATGCATATGAGTACCATGAATAATATATGGAAATCTTCCTCTAAGCGACTGTAATAATAGCTTACTTGACCTGCAAAAGAATAATTTTTTGTATTAAATTTATCATTTTATTTAAATATATATTAAACATTTAAATATGGGTTTTTACATGGGCACAATTTTCAAAATTTTGCATAGAACATCATGTATATGATTTAATCTATAGATATCTTCTTCTTTACATTCTCCAGCTTCCCATTCCGTTTCATCACTCTCATCTATATAAAATAAAAATATTATTAAAACTAAAACATTTTACAAACCTCTGCACAATTATAGTTCTTCCAAACATACCTGGCTTAAATTGTTCAACTAAATTATCGATTACGTTTTTAGCATAATGAATTTGCATACAAATTAAATCTTCTATAAATGATTTATAAGCAGATGCAACTTCTAAAGAACGATTTGTCCACTTTAATTGTAAAAGTGTTTCCACAAATAATTTATGGACTGGATTCAATAATGATATACATTGTCTAACATTCATTAAAAATTCTATTAGGTCTGAATCCTGTAATTAAAGATAATAAATATTAAGTTCATAATACTGAGTTAATTCAGTTGAATTAAGTTAAATTAATAGTAAATATGGTTTTATCTTTGTAATATTAACGATAAATACCTTTATATTTGAATCTCTTAAAACGCATATTAAATCTTCATAATCTTTAGTTCCATTGCCACTTTCAAAATTATAAATAATATTCTTCAAATTTGTTGGAAGCTTAAAATACACTCTATTAGATTGTCTAATTAATTGCGATCTGACTCCAGGAGCCTTTAAAATCGACGAGACACTACTAACTCTTGATGATACAACTGACATCTGTTTAATAGACATGTGATATTAATTATGTATTTCATGAAATATAACAATTAGTAGGGTTTATTTCAATGAATGTTGTTTCATGAAACTTATATTAAGATTAAAATATTCAAAAGTAATTAAATATCATTCATATTATTTTTTAACATTGTTACACATATACACAATAATATAAAGAGGTTATGCCAGGAATTAACAAAAATATCTAATATTATTTACCTTCAAGCTTATGCCTGTATCCCTTTATTGTATTTGGATTTCTTGATTATTCGGAATCATGTGTCCGTTTACATGTTGAAAACGTATTATTGCTCAAATATTCTCTTTAACAATATCCCACATGTGCCCGACAGGTCCATGTGGTCAAAGCATAAATGACTCATAGAGTAGACTGAAGATGCAATGTATTTTTCTAACATAGAGCTAAAGAGGACATTTATAGAGGTGAAATGTGGTAATAATTTAAGTAAATAGTTTTAAAGCAGAAAAAAATGGACAATGTTTTCTTTGATAATATAAGCAATAAATCAATAAAAGATGCATCTAAGGTTTGGCAGGTTAGCTTTACTGGCGAATTCCACCAATAAGCATAAAGGCGGAATACTCTACCTATTTCAATCAAAAAAATAAAAATATAGCCGTGTGAAGTCCAGCGCTTTTCGCGAACCAATTTTCTATGCGCACGCGTATGGAAAATGTGTTCTACGAATATAGTTGCAAAACTTTGAAATAATAAGTGATGTTACACCATTATATTAATTATAACAGAAATTTAAATTTGGTTAATATCTAAATATCAATCAACTGTGTATAATTGTCTTAAATAGTGATCGATGATCATAGTTTAGGAAAATATGTACTCGACTGGACAATTCCAGGATAATAATGTGAGTTAAGAATCGATTTCTTATTCTAATTTACATCAATGTTTCTATTTATGCATATCAATTACACCAATATGTTACAAATGTTTTCCTGTTAAAAACGGGTTCAACCGTGCCATACATTGGATAAGAACTATATTTGTACTCTAATAACGTAGTTAACCCTTTCCGGTCGCAGGCCGGGTATGACCCGGCAAGGCATTTTTGCCGTTGAGGACGGGAGCCGGGTTCGCGTGACTTAAAGTTCGACTGTTTCATCAATCGAGCGGCTCTTCTTTCGACTATTTTATTATGTAACTATTGTTTAATGTTATATTATATTAATATTATTATTAAAATATCGTTTAACATGTTACTGTTTAACATGTTACTGTTTAACATTTTATAATTTCTATTTATTTGTTTATTACCGACTGAGCGCTACGACTAATCGGGTAGCCCACTTTCGGAATGTTCCGACCGGAAAGGGTTAATATTAACGTATGGTATGTTGACTTTCAATTTCAATTATTACAATTTCATAAAACATTAACCATCGTAGGATAAAAACATATGTATATAATTACTGACGAGATATACGATGGATTGGACATGCAATATAAATTTTTATTACAGTGTTACCAACAGAGTACAGGTAAATACAAATAAATGTAAAACAGGTTCTTTTTTACTTTTCTGTCTTAATATTAAATTTTTCTATATACTCGAAATTTTGTATAGACTTTCATCAGAATATGTAACATAATTCACGATTTCAATGTACAATGCAACATGAACACTGAATTTTTACTGAAAATGTGATGAAACTTCTGAAAGTTTGATAAAGGGGAAGCGATGCGAAGATTAAAATGCATAATTTTGTAAAGAAGTATTTTACCATTTCAGTGTCACTCCCTACGTTGCCGACAAATGTAGAATACAATTAGAATAGTATTTGGTATTATTTTTTTATTATTTTGAATCGCATATATATTTTATATCATTTAATAATTGCATGAAGGGATCATCTCCACTTCTTTTTATTTCATATTTCCATAAATATTCGTAAAATGGTCTTCCTTTATGACGCTCTTATTTAATGGATCTCACAAACTCTGCCAAAACGATTTAACATTTTGCGTGTACACTGTTACACCGTTTGCAAGGTCCATCAAAGTTCTGCGAATGATTCACAGTTTTGTGGATATATCTATATTTTTCTAAATCTAGGTAGCCGTTGCAACAGTCTGCTTGAATCGCCGTTCTAGGAGCTATAAGTACTATAGGGATCTCGCATTAGCTAAGCTGGCCTCTTGTGTAATATTGATGAGGGGTAAGGGGAGACGTCCACTCATAGCGCTCGGTCTGATCGTTATGGGGGCTCAGTTTCGGCACGTCCTTGTTATTGGCCGAGTTGCAAGCTCGGGTGGAGCATGTGGCTGTGTCCTCTTGCCGGTCTTCACTTTGAGCCACAGGTTGGCTTGGCTAACGTGGGACCTCTACAGTATTTTTATTAGAGCTACGAGAGTGTTTTCATCTTTCCGATTCTTCGGATATATTTCAAGTCGAAATCTCCTTCCTTCACGCTCTGTCAAACCTGTCAATAAATAGAATTCAAATATAAATATTTGAGTGTTCCACATACTTCTACTGAAATAATTTGTTGCGATTGAAAAGTAAATGCGTGGTCATTTACTGTACCCTCGTTCCGTGAAAAAATTAACCCAAGCCTATGCCGGACATAAATTTGAAGTATCGTCAGCATAAATATTGAAAATAGTTTTGTGTATATCTGTATCGTACTGAGTATCCATGTTGCTTCCCGTAATCGTCCCTTCTCAAATTTTCTGCTGCCAATCTTACTTGGACGATTATTCCTGGACCTTCAATTACTCCTTCTGTTTGATACACTGTCAAGTGCAATTGACCAGACTTCTTGTATAGACTTGTCCAGCACTGTAGAAACAAAGGGTGACGTAATCTTATGGCTGAAGGTCTTCAACTTGCTGGTACCAGTAATCAGTTATAGCGGATGATTATTATTGAAAGTTAAATGTCATGCGAGAAATGTTTGCCATTGTACCAATCTAAAGCTACTTATTCTTTTATTTGCGACTGCCACTACAATATTCCTAGGCGTTTAAAAAATAACTGTTCTAATGCGCATCGCGAAGCGCCGGGGCTATCCTATACTGCAACGGCAATGTAGGAACAGACACTACATTGGTAAAAACGTTTTTACAAAATTTTGTATCTTAACTTTAGAATTTCCAAAAATCCTTTACGTCAATATTTTCTCTGTGTAAACAAAAGCTGAAATGGTAAAATACTTTTTGCACAGTTTTTCATTTTAACTTTCTCACTGCAAAAAATCTTTCTCGAAAACATTGTTTCAAAAGGTACCTATATGTAAAATTTCTGTTCCATCAAATTTGTCAGACTTTCGGAAGTAGAGCCACCAGAAATGTTGTCCCATAAAAATTTTGAAGTTTATTTTCCATGAAGTAATCACTACGTAATTTGTAGAGTGCACAGTAGCTTGGTGACCGGTGGAGTTAACGTAAAAGGCGCTTAGTAGGGAGGACGTCCCGGAACATCCTCTGACATCCCGGTAACACATTCATACTCTAGTTTATTAGTTTATTCATTGCTAAAATCGATTGATAATGGTTGTCGCTCTTTGTGAAAATATTGTATTTCGTACAAATGATTTAATGAAATTGATATAATTCTATTGTCATTTATTTTATTTGGAAACGTAATAGACAGTAAAAAACTCTTGATTTATTAATATTTATATTCTATTGAGTAAGTAACTATACCTGAAATATATAAACCTATGGAATATATTTACCTAATTGTAATGAATATTTATTCGGATTTTGTTGATCTTGTTTATTTTATTTATATAAATTTCGACGCATTTTCACTTCCTAATTGCACACACACATATGGAAAATACGCCGTGCACGATACACTAACCATTACTAATCGCTCACATGTTTAAAAAATAACAATTTCATCATGGCCATTGCCCTCACTTTCCCAAATAGTACTTGTGCACGTGAGAGAGATGGAGCAACGAACATGGAAAAGAGTCTTGAATATCCTAACTAAAACATGATGTTATTTTCTGATTTTTCCAACGGACTTGATTGACTGTCAATTGTCTCGAAATGAAGAATTTAATTATCCAACTTTAGAAATGAAAGGTGTACTAATATATAAATATTTTGATATTAGGAAAAAGAATAAGAAAAATATAAATTTAACAGAAAAAGAGAATTTAAGCAAAGTTAATAAGAATAAATCAATTATAAATATTTAATAAATTTTAAAAAACCCTCGGATGACCATTTTGTCAGAGCAACTGTTTTTAATGTCAAAAACGGTATTATAAAGTTGCTTTTACTCGGAGATCTACTGTAGCAAACATATATTAGACACTTTATCATATAGAAAAATTTAATATTGAAGAAAAGAAAGTGTTTCTTATTTATTTGTTTACTTATAGACTGTCGGTACTATTCTAAGCGACAGGGGTATGGTAAAGAGGTCACGTTTCTCCTGAACGCATGACAAAAATTTACATTGGTTATTCAGTCTATCCTACCTCTCGTCGGTGACTAAATGTTTGTTAATGCTTTACCGATAAAAAGGGAATTGTAGAATGGTAACATGTAATTTTCAAAAATTACATCATGTAGCAACTATTTTCTAAATATTTCTTATATATTCAACACTTAATATTACAATATTATTTCCTAATAAAATTGTTAAAATATAAGAATTTTTGAAATACTCTGCTAGAAGCGCCTTTACGTCGTAGAACAACATCATGTTCCGTCATGACAGTCGATAACCAAAGATTTCTACGATACCGATGCAATAATAAATAATATGAATAAAATATCCTCGAATTGTATCACGTCTAATTGTAACACAACCGTGAACATTCTCTTCTATAATTTCAGCTTGAAATCATCGAAAATTCCGTGTGCCATAATGAATTCCATTCGTTCCATGTGCACTCATGTGCAACAAGTAAACGTTGTTCTTGCATACATGCACAATACCATGTAGGTACTTCCCCTTTCGCCATATACAAAATAATCATTAAACAACCCCCTAACAAAGCTCGCTCGTTGTCCTAACGATCCAGCATTTTCAAGGAATAGCTTCCCTCGAGCAGCAGCCTCGTTGATCGGTAATTCGTTAGTGCCATCATCGCTAATGTTCAATACACACAGGTGCGAAATCGATCGATTGGTTCATCAACCGTGTCACCCCAGTACGTTCTACTTATACCATCCGCGTTAGCCGGCGCGTCGCCGTGATCCAGCACACCGGGCCGAGGATCTCGCCGGGCAGCTAATCCCTCTTGGTGGACTTGGACCATGCTTTAAGCATCGTTCGCGACCGTCGCTACGGAATCAACATACCATACATACATGCATGCATACATACATGCATTCATACATACAAACATACATGCATACATACATACATACATACATACATACATACATACATACATACATACATATATACGTATATACATATATTCGGGGCGCACTTAACGTACACCACCGCCTGTGTACATATGTAAAAGTGCTTCCGAGTCGCACGCATAAATCCATACACTCCGCGTAACGGAAGAGGGATGCACGCACACACCTCGAAAGTTACACGGTAACGGCGGTGAGCTATGGGGGTTCGCGAGGTGGCCGAGAGGGAGACGCGAGGATCCGGAGTCCGGGTGACGGAGAAAG